GATCCTGGGGGGCATGGGGTGATCCTGGGGGGCATGGGGTGATCCTGGGTGACATGGGGTGATTTGGGGGGGCATGGGGTGATTTGAGGTGACATGGGGTAGTTCAGGGTGACATGGGGTGCTCCAGGGTGGCATGGGGTGCTCCGGGGTGGCATGGGGTGATCCTGGGTGACATGGGGTGATTTGGGGTGACATGGGGTGCTCTGGGGGGGTGACATGGGGTGCTCCAGGGTGGCATGGGGTGCTCCAGAGGGGTGGCATAGGGTGCTCCAGGGGGGTATGGGGTGATTCGGGGTGGCATGGGGTGATTCGGGGTGGCATGGGGTAGTTCAGGGTGACATGGGGTGCTCCAGGGGGGTATGGGGTGATTCGGGGTGGCATGGGGTGATTTGGGGTGACATGGGGTGCTCCGGGGTGACATGGGGTGCTCCGGGGTGGCATGGGGTGATTTGGGGTGGCATGGGGTGCTCCGGGGTGACATGGGGTAGTTCAGGGTGACATGGGGTGCTCCGGGGTGGCATGGGGTGCTCCAGGGGGGTATGGGGTGCTCCAGGGTGACATGGGGTGATTTGGAGTGACATGGGGTAGTTCAGGGTGGCATGGGGTGCTCCGGGGTGACATGGGGTGCTCCAGGGTGGCACGGGGTGCTCCGGGGGCACACCACAGTGACCCCGGGTGTTTCGGGGTGGCCCGGGGCGCTTTGGGGTGACCCCGTGCGCCCCGTAGCCGCGCGGGGTGACCCGGGCCGACCGCGGCGCCGCCGTGCTGTGTTGCAGAAGGCAGCCGGGTACCACCTGGACCTCTTCTGGGTGGGCATCCTGATGGCCGTGTGCTCCTTCATGGGGCTGCCCTGGTACGTGGCCGCCACGGTCATCTCCATCGCCCACATCGACAGCCTCAAGATGGAGACCGAGACCAGCGCCCCGGGGGAGCAGCCCCAGTTCCTGGGGGTCAGGTGGGCCTGGGGACACCTGGATGGGTCCTGGGGACACCTGGGACAGTTCCTGGGGGTCAGGTGGGCATGGGGACACCTGGATGGGTCCTGGGGGACACCTGGACGGGTCCTGGGGGACACCTGGATGGGTCCTGGGGGACACCTGGGATGGGTCCTGGGGGACACCTGGGACAGTTCCTGGGGGTCAGGTGGGCCTGGGGACACCTGGACGGGTCCTGGGGGACACCTGGATGGGTCCTGGGGGACACCTGGGACAGTTCCTGGGGGTCAGGTGGGGATGGGGGACACCTGGATGGGTCCTGGGGGACACCTGGGACGGGTCCTGGGGGTCAGGTGGGGATGGGGACACCAGGATGGGTCCTGGGGGACACCTGGGACAGTTCCTGGGGGACACCCGGGACGGGTCCTGGGGGACAGGTGGGGATGGGGACACCTGGATGGGTCCTGGGGGACACCTGGGACAGGTTCTGGGGGACACCTGGGACAGTTCCTGGGGGTCAGGTGGGCCTGGGGACACCTGGGACGGGTCCTGGGGGACACCTGGGACAGTTCCTGGGGGACAGGTGGGTCCTGGAGGGCCCAGGTGGGTCTCGGTGGTTTCCTGGCACTGGGGGGACGTCCCTGGCCTGGGGGACAGCGTGGCCACGAGGGATTGTCCTGTCCTGGGGGACACCAAGGCCAGCAGGACCAGGGAGGGGTTGTCACTGCTGTTCCCATTGGTGACCCCATGGTTCTGGGTGATTCCTGGGTGATTCCTGGGTGGTTCCTGGGTGGTTCCTGGGTGGTTCCTGGGTGGTTCCTGGGCGGTTCCTGTGTGTTTCCTGGGTGGTTCTGTGTGTTTCCTGGGTGATTCCTGTGTGGTTCCTGTGTGGTTCCTGTGTGTTTCCTGGGTGGTTCCTGGGTGGTTCCTGGGCGGTTCCGGGCGGTTCCTGGGTGGTTCCTGGGTGGTTCCTGTGTGTTTCCTGGGTGTTTCCTGGGTGGTTCCTGTGTGTTTCCTGGGTGGTTCCTGGGTGGTTCCTGGGTGTTTCCTGGGTGGTTCCTGTGTGTTTCCTGGGTGGTTCCTGGGTGGTTCCTGTGTGGTTCCTGGGTGGTTCCTGTGTGGTTCCTGTGTGGTTCCTGGGTGGTTCCTGTGTGGTTCCTGTGTGGTTCCTGGGTGGTTCCTCTGTGGTTCCTGTGTGTTTCTTGGGCGGTTCCTGTGTGGTTCCTGTGTGTTTCCTGGGTGGTTCCTGGGTGGTTCCTGTGCGGTTCCTGTGTGGTTCCTGGGTGGTTCCTGGGTGGTTCCTGGGTGGTTCCTGGGTGGTTCTGTGTGTTTCCTGGGTGGTTCCTGGGTGGTTCCTGTGTGGTTCCTGGGCGGTTCCTGGGTGGTTCCTGGGTGGTTCCTGGGTGGTTCCTGTGTGTTTCTTGGGCGGTTCCTGGGCTGACCCTCCTGCTGTCCCCACTTCAGGGAGCAGAGGGTGACCGGCATCATCGTCTTCATCCTCACGGGCATCTCGGTTTTCCTGGCTCCTGTCCTGAAGGTAAAACGCTCCAACAGAGAGTTGGGGACGTGGGCAGGAGAAGCTGCAGCCTGCCCCACGCTGGGCACCTCCAGCGCTGGCCCTGGCCCTGGCCAGTCCCCGTGCCCGTGTCCCCGTGTCCCCGTGTCCCCGTGTCCCCGTGTCCGTGTCCCCGTGCCCGTGTCCCCGTGTCCCTGTGTCCCCGTGTCCCTGTCCCCGTGTCCCCGTGTCCCCGTGTCCCCGTGCCCGTGTCCCCGTGTGCCCGTGTCCCCGTGTCCCCGTGTCCCCATGCCCGTGTCCCTGTGTCC